CTCTCTGTTGCTGTTGCTGTTCACAGGGTGATCTGCTCCAATGCATTTGGCTGACTTAAGGTAAAGCATTGAGCTGGCACTTGCCAAAGAAGGAAACGCTGGAAAGAAGACAAAAACAGCAATAAAAAAGGGAAAGAAAAGCCCATGAAAGATCCACATCTTGGTCTAAATCTTGCTGTCACTCTTTTTTGGGGGGTTATGGCAGTATATGCCTTTGCTGGTGGCATAGTCACATGTAGAAGTCTTACATATTCAAATCCATTTCTTCATAATTTATTTCTTTGAGCAAGAGAGGGATAAAAGGTTTAGGCTACTCAGCTTCTGTGAGTTTCCACTGCTCCACAACCTGGACCAAGATGTTAATTACTACCGACCCACATATCTCCACAGGCACCACCAATCGTTTCGCCCCTCAGTGCCTTGGTTTACTTCTTACTCACCTTTGCAAAGTCCTTTCAAAGTGAGTGCTAAATATTATTAAGATTTCACTTCTATGCACCCACACACTTGTATAATATGAAGCAATGTCCCGCTGGGCTGGCTCTCTGGGGAGCGCTCCAGGGAATCACATTCATGAAACTTCTTTGTGCCACCGTGGGCGAGGGCAGCTATACCCAGACTACATGCACACGTATGTTCTCTCATAGGGCTTGTCTACACAGTGGCACAGTGCAGACTACAGGAGTGTGAACTGCACAATGTGCTCATGAGTTGTGCTCTGACTGTCCTGTGAGTAGACCCTGCTGGTGCCTAGTTCGCACCGATGTAATTCTGTTTCAAACTGGACTATGTTAATACGGAGCAGGTAGAATGCAACATGTTAGCGCACTCTACAATTCACACCCCCATAGGCTGCATTCCACCACTGTGTACACAATCTCATAGTGCAGACCACTATAGAGTCAAGTCACAGTGAACAATAAACACAACACACACGAGTCACTGTCCAGCAATCTTCCACCATGCTTTGCATTCTTTACACAGCCTTGAGAAGCACATCAGACTGCATCCTGTCCAGCCAGCCATTTCATGTCACCACGGGTGTGTGTGTTCCTCCCCGCTCCGCCCCAGCCCCTGACATCAGAACCTGCAACACATACTTTGGCAATACTCTGCTCATCCAACACACAAGTCCTGCAAACTCAAGTTTTCTTCATCTGATCATCTTGATAGTATCAGGTATCACTCCGATGATCCTGCAAATTTGGCAAATTACCTCCTCGTTAGTCATATGCATAGTATAGCAAACACGCAGCAATCCCCTGTAGTAGTTCAGTTCAAAGGCAGAAAACCTCTTAGGATATGTCTACACAGAAAAAAAAACAAAAATCAAAACCCGTGGCTCAGGCTGCGGGGCTGTTTCATTGCTGTGTAGACTTCCGGAGTCGGGCTGAAGCCTGGTCTCTAGGACCCTGTGGGGTGGGAGGGTCCCAGACTTATATGGACTTAGATGTCACCATTGTCTTTGTCGTTTCATGTGATATCTTTAGAGCTAACTTATCTGCTTCCAGTGCTGCTCTTTCTAGCGCAGGATGGTGGTGACCAATCCCAGTCGTGGCTTTAGCAGTTCAGTTGTGTCAGGATGATGAATGCATAAAGCTAGGTCAGGCTATGCCCACTGACTCACAGTATGTTCTTGGGCAAGTCATTACTCCTGGGGGAATTCTGCACCAAAAAATTAAAAATTCTGCACACAATATTTTAAAATTCTGCAAATTTTATTTGTCAAAATAACACAATATAATCACGCTGGTTTCAATTATTTTGGTAATTTATTTAAACTACAGTAAAATGGATGGAGAATGGGAGTGGGGAGCATAGGAGGAAATCCCCAAACCCACTCTGTCTAATAGTAGTGTAGCTAGTATTTACCCTTTACTTATAGTTATTAGTCAACAAATATATGCAGCCACATGGGGGAATTCCCTAAGAACAATGGGAACAATTCACTAAGCAGGCAGGCTGCTACATTCTGCTTTGTCCAAAGCCTGCCCGATGCCTACCTCCTCAGAAACACCCCAAAGCCCTGCCCCTCCACACTGAGCGTGCTGCAATAGTGAGCGAGAGAGATGCCCAGCCCTATCCCCTGATCGTGATTTACATCTCTACTGGGTGCCCAAACCAACCTGTCCGCACTGCTGGAGAGGGGCACATGACTGCCCTTGCAGCTTCCCTTTGCTTCCCCATCAGAAGTCATTTTTCTGCAGAGAAGCAAAGAAATCTGTGGGGGCCATGAATCCTGCACACGCGCAATGATGCAGAATTCCCCCAGGAGTAAAGTCATGCTTGCACAGGGATGCTGGAACAATTTGTACAGTGGCGGTGCTGAGAGCCATTGAACCAAACTGCAAACCCTGTATATCAGGAGTGGGCCCATGCGGCCCATCAGACCTTTTAATCTGGCCCTCAGCTTCTGCCGGGGAGCGAGGCTGAGGGCTTGCTCCGCTCCATGCAGCTCCCGGGAAGCAGCCAGCATGACCCCCTTCCGGCTCCTATATAGTACACAGAGGTGTGGCCAGGCAGCTCTGCGCACTACCCCATCCACAGGTGCTGCCCCCGCAGCTCCCATTGGCCACGGTTCCCAGCCAATGGGAGCTGCGGGGGTGGTGCCTGTGGACAGGGCAGTGCATGCAGAACCGCCTGGCCGTGGCTCTGTGTAGGAGCCAGAGTGGGGGACATGCTTCTGGGAGCTGCTTGAACTCAGCACCACCCAGAGCCTGCACCCCTGAGCCTCCCCCCTGTGTCCCAATCCCCTGCCCCAGCCCGGATCCCCCTCCTGCTTGCTGAACCCCTGAATCCCAGCCTGGAGCACCCTCCTTCACCCCAAACCCCTCATCCCCAGCCCCACCCCAGAGCCCACATCCCCAGCCGGAGCCCTCACCTCCTCCCACACCCCTACTCCCAATTTTGTGAGCATTCATGGCCCATCATACAATTTCCATACCCCGATGTGGCCCTCAGGCCAAAAAGTTTGCCCACTCCTGCTGTATATGATGGAAACCACTTCAAGCCAGAGGGTACAGCAACACCCCTAGTTCCAGCACCTATGTGCCTTCACAAGGGGATTAATGATCCTTCCTTTCCTGGTGGTTGTCTTTGTGAAACTAAATACATAAGACCCTGATTCTCCCTTGTGCCAAGATCAACTTGTTGTAGGGGGGGAAGGGGAGAGCAGCAGCCAGGGAGGTGGTTATGCCTCTCTCTTTCACAGCCTGGTCCAACTCCAGTGTAACTTACAGAATCACAGGGCGGGAAGGTACCTCCAGGAGTCACCTGTTCTAGTGCAGCTTCCCACACTGAGGCAGGGGGCAAGGAAACCTAGACCATCCTTGACAGGTGTTTTTCCAACCTGTTCTTAACAACCTCCAATGAGCCAACCAGCCAGGTGAGCTGCTCCACTGCCTCACTATCCTTATAAATCAGAAGAGTTCGTTAACATCTCAACCTAGCTAACCCTCCCTTGTTGCTGATTTGAAGACTGTTAGGTCTCCCCTCGAGACTATTGCACATGCCCTCACAGATCAGGTTTTTTAAACCCCTTGCCATGTTGTCACTCCTTTCCTCTTCCAGGAAACACTAAACTGACACTAAACTGGGAGGAGTGGTAGATACACTGGAGGGTAGGGACAGGATACAGAGGGACCTAGACAAATTGGAGGATTGGGCCAAAAGAAATCTGATGAGGTTCAGCAAGGACAAGTGCAGAGTCCTGCATTTAGGACAGAAGAATCCAATGCACCACTACAGACTAGGGACCGAATGGCTAGGCAGCAGTTCTGCAAAAAAGGACCTAGGGGTTACAGTGGATGAGAAGTTGGATATGAGTCAACAGTGTGCCCTTGTTGCCAAGAAGGCCAATGGCATTTTGGGATGTATAAGTAGGGGCATCGCCAGCAGATCGAGGGACATGATCGTTCCCCTCTATTCAACATTGGAGAGGCCTCATCTGGAGTACTGTGTCCAGTTTTGGGGCCCACACTACAAGAAGGATGTGGAAAAATTGGAAAGAGTCCAGCGGAGGGCAACAAAAATGATTAGGAGACTGGAACACATGACTTATGAGGAGAGGCTGAGGGAACTGGGGATGTTTAGTCTTCAGAAGAGAAGAATGAGGGGGGATTTGATAGCTGCTTTCAACTACCTGAAAGGAGGTTCCAAAGAGGATGGCTTTAGACTGTTCTCAGTGGTAGCAGATGACAGAACAAGGAGTAATGGTCTCAAGTTGCAGTGGGGGAGATTTAGGTTGGATATTAGGAAAAACTTTTTCACTAGGAGGGTGGTGAAACACTGGAATGCGTTACCTAGGGAGGTGGTGGAATCTCCTTCCCTAGAAGTTTTTAAGGTCAGGCTTGACAAAGCCCTGGCTGGGATGATTTAGTCGGGGATCAGTCCTGCTTTGAGCAGGGGGTTGGACTAGATGACCTCCTGAGGTCCCTTCCAACCCTGATATTCTATGATTCTATGATTCCAGAGGGACTGCTCTAATGTTCAGTTCCCAGCTGGCAGGGCAAGCCCTGTCCCAAGCCCTCTCTCAACAGCCCCTGTGGGGCAGGCCTAGGAACCTCAGATGGCTTCACACCAGGAGGAGTCATTCTCACCTGGCCACTCCATCCGCTCCTTTGCCCACCACAGAGGGACAGAAGCAGGAGCCGGGTTTGTAAAACACTCTATTAATTATTGCCCAAGGTTTGCCACTGGGCGCCTGGTGGCCTCATTCCCGTGCCCAGAGGAGGAGGCAGCCTGCGATCTGTGCCCCTGGCCCTGCCCATTGCAGGGATCCAAACCACTGAGGGCAGACCCCCTGCCCCTCAGCACCCTTCCTGCCTCCCCCCGGCCCGGCCATTTCGGCCCCGGGGTGACCCGGGCACGTCCAGACACACGCTCCCAGCTCACCCCCATCACGAGCCGAGCGTCCGATGGCCACATCCTCCGCCCCCCCCCCACCCCCAGGCGCGGCTGCTGCCGGCAGCTTTCGCAGCCCGGAGTCACTCGCCGCCCGCCCGTCCCCGGCGGCGGCTGGGGGCCGGAGCCAGAGCCCTGCCCCTCGCCAAGTGGCTTGGCCGGCTGGGACTCGCCCCCGGGCTGCAGAGGGCCCCGCTGGGCGCTGGAAGGAGCTCGGAGGCGGCTCCCTGCACCGGAGCCTCCTGTCCCGGCTGAGCAGCTGCGCCGGGGAGCGCGCCAGGCGGGGCGCAGCAGCCCGGGCGATGCCCGCCGCCGGGCGCCCTGCAGCCGGAGGCCGCCTGCCCTGAGCCCCTATGGAGCCCAACCTCACCGCCGGCGGGGCAGGCAACGCGTCCGGCCGGGCGGCGGGCTCGGGCGGCGGCGGCGGCAGCGAGCTGCTCATCGCCTTCGGCGCGGTGCTGTCCTGCATGTGCGTGGCCGGGGTGGCGGGGAACGTGTACACCCTGGCGGTGATGTGCCAGTCGGCGCGCGGCGCCGCCCCCATGTACAGCTCCATCGTCAGCCTGGCGCTGGCCGACCTGCTCTACCTCTCCACCATCCCCTTCATCGTCTGCACCTACCTGGCGCAGGACTGGTACTTCGGGGACCTGGGCTGCCGCGTCCTGCTCAGCCTGGACCTGCTCACCATGCACGCCAGCATCTTCACCCTCACCCTCATGTGCGCCGAGCGCTACCTGGCCGTCACCCGGCCCCTGGGCAGCCTCACGCGCTCCCGGGGCTACCGCAAAGCCACGGCCGGCGCCGTGTGGTCCGTCTCCCTGCTGCTCACCCTGCCCATGATGCTGATGGTCACGCTGACCGAGGCGGGCCAGGCCGGGGGCAAGGTGAAGCGGATGTGCGCCCCGACCTGGAGCGCCGACGCCTACCGGACCTACCTGACCGTGCTCTTCAGCACCAGCATCATGGCGCCGGGGGTGATCATCGGCTACCTGTACGCGCGCCTGGCCAGGACCTACCTGGAGTCCCAGAGGAACCCGCCCCACAAGGAGGGCAAGAGGTCCCCCCGGCAGAAGGTGCTGATCATGGTCTTCAGCATCGTGCTGGTCTTCTGGGCTTGCTTCCTGCCCTTCTGGGTCTGGCAGCTGGTGCGCCTCTACCACAGCTCCCTGCAGTTGACTTCTGAGACCCAAAAGTGCATTAACTACCTGGTGACCTGCCTGACCTACAGCAACAGCTGCATCAACCCCTTCCTTTACACCCTGCTCACCAAGAACTACCGGGAGTACCTGCGCAACCGGCACCGCAGCTTCCACCGCTTCACCTCCTCCTTCCGCAAGCGGAGCTCCAACCTGCAGCGCTCCTGGGGAAGGGCCATGTCCTCCAGCAACCAGTATGACTACACCTCGGAGTCCCTGGGCATGGCCACGCTGAAGGACAAGTGAGGAGGGAGAGGGGCTCCACACGTGGGAACCAGAGGAATGTCTGCTCAAGGTAAGGCTTAAGGGCCCCATAAAGCCAAGGTACCGCGGGGAACTGGCTCTCTGGGTACTTCCCGTACATCTTGGGCAAACTCCTTCCAAGCTTTGTCTAGCTCCTGCTCCGCACTTGTTTTACTTTGGTTCCGTAGTACTACAATGATGCCCAGGCTCGAGGACTAGAAACCTGGCAGTCTGAAATCTCCCTTGTCCGGTCCATAGTACTGTTAACTGTTCAGAATGTGTCTCAGGAAACTTTGAAAGACCCTTTCCTATTTCATCTTAAACTTGAACTCTCTTTTATACAGTAGAATGTTCTGCACTTTGATCAAACTCTTCTCAGAAGTGGGGAAAGGCTGTATGGGTACATTCATTGTGGCAATGTGGCCAACCCCAGGCATGACAAACTCATGGGCCAAGCCCTCTGGCATCATGAGATTGTCTTAAAAATCAGGTGAAATTGAATGAGAAAACATTTGGGGTTCTTTTTATTGGCCTCCTGGTTGTTGCTGTTGTTGGGTTTTGTTTTTTGTTTTCTTCGTTAGGGATTGGATTTTCAAGCTTTTCTATGTAATCATAAGGGCTAGAAACTTTTTTTTTTTTTTTTTTTTAAAGAAAGCTGGGATTCTCTAACTACCTAACTCCATGAGCCTGGGCTTTTAAAAACCCCCACTAAATATTGTGAGACTCGTGATAAAACGGTGACAGTTGGTGACACAGTTGTGGGGGACATGCATCAGAACAATGTTCATGCCAGAATCTCCTTGCAGTCTGCACCAGTCTCTTTTAAGAGCAAGATGAGGAACTTAATGAATTAAATACCATGCTGGTATTGTTTTCTGATTGTGGGATTCAACAACTAGAAATTGCTCTGCTCCCTTGAGCCTTTCTACTGCATTTTCTAGGGAAAAGAGGGATGATTAGGTCAGAAATCGACATAATAGGCCAAATTAATTACTGATGTAACTCCACAGAAATCACTTTGGCTCAGTATAAACTACTCATTATTGTTCTTCCACCTAACATCTAATAGCAAACCTTCAGCACACCCATTTCAAAAATATGTTTGTAGCCTTTTTTTTAAAGGGTAAAATCTCAATTCGGACAAGATTATTAAGAAGCAATGGATCATCAATGGTTTTGCCCTCAGTCGACTGATCGCTTCTTCACTCAGCACAAGGGTCTGTAATTATGAGAACCAAAGACACTGATCCTTGGCTGCCACAGTCAGGGCTGATGAGAGGCTGGGAAAGGGGGGACAATTGTACCAGGATCCCAAGCACAGGTCACCCCCCAAAATGTCTAACTGGGATGAAATGGGAGGGGTTGAGGCCCCAGAGAACATGATATACCAGGGCCCCAAATTTCTCTCAGCAGGCCTGCTCCTAGTGTAACATGGAGTGGAGGAGTGGGGACAAAGATAGCTTTAAGCTATCACTGTTTCAGCCTGTACTTTACCGTATCGTGCAGACTAGCTAGCTAACTAAAGTGTCATCGAATTATAGCGTTTAAGGCCAGAAGAGACCACTCTAGTCTGACCTCTTGCACATCACAGGCCACCAGCACCACCCAGAGAATAGAAGGGATCAAGGTCCACCAGTGTCTAAGGCTCCTGCCGTGGCAGGGAAATGATTGCCACTCGGATAATCCTGATAAATGACCCATATGCTGCAAAGGAAAGCAAAAAAAACCAAAAACAAAACAAAAAAAAAAACCCTAGGTCACTGCCATTCTGACCTGGGGGAAAATTCCTTCACAACCCCATATATGGGGATCAGTAACACCCTGAGCATGTGAGCAACAAACAGCCAGACAAACACCTGAGTGAGAGAGAGAGTGTGCTCGGTGCCACTGTAGCTTGCCCTGGCCCAACCTCCCTCTTCCCCCCCCCATCTCCAGCTGTGATCATCCCTAATGCTTCAGAGAAAGAAGATTCAAAAAACCCTCTCAGAATACATGGTACCGGGGGGAGGAAGGAGGAGATCCCTTAGTTATCCTGGCCACTGGCCTGCTGAAACCCTGAAGCATGAGCTTTAGGTAGATTTACATAATCTAACATGCTTATCCCTGAGGTGTCTGGGTACCACGACATAAGGCATTGTTAGGACACACAATGTGCCATGTACTTTTACAACATTTTAAGTACTTGCCTTTTTTGGAACTAACCCACGGTTGGATTCATCATTTGTAACAAATTTTCCTTTCCTTTGCTTCACATTTCTGGGCCTGTCTTCACGGGAAAACAACACCTGTTAAAAAGAAACAAGGTTAAGTTTCATTCTGAAAGGAGGTGTCTCTTTCTCATGCTGGTTGTGGGTGGAATGCTGCTGTCAAGCAACAGAATAATACGATGGTGAGAGGAGAACCACTGCTTATTTGAATCAGGCTGTATAGATTGCAGGTGTTGTCCTTGCAGCTTGCTCATATCTGAACAAAGGGGATGTTTCCTCATGACCATACAGTGAAAAAAATCCACGCTGACTGGAGCCTGTTCTGGTGAAGTATTGAGTATTTGTGACTTCCATTGCTCCTCACAGGAACAGGCCCTTAAAGGCCAATTATGTAACAAGATGGTCCCATGCGAAAATGTAGTTGCTTAATCAATGGAAAGTAGAATTACAAAGTTATGAAGAAGATAAATCAGTCTTTGTGGATGAATAAAGTACATTATAGAATTGTAAGACTGAAGTTGCTTCAAGAGGTCATCTAGACCTTTTCCCACCCTGAGGCAGGATTAAGTATACCTATACCATCTCCGACAGATGTGTGTCTAACAACCTAGTCTTAAAAATCTCCAGTGACAGGGATTCCACAACCATCCGAGGTAATCTGTTCCAGTGCTTAATTAACTTTACAGTTAGTTTTTCATAATATTTAACCGAAATCTCCCTTGCTGCAGATTAAGCTCATTACTTCTTTCTCAGTGGACATGGAGAACAAATGATCACCATTCTCTTTATAACAGCCTTTGACATATTTGAAGACTATTATCATGCACATCTCGGCCTTCTCTTCTCTAGACTAAACATGGCCAGTACTTTCAACCTTTTCTCATAGGCCAGGTTTTCTAAACCTCTGATCATTTTTGTTGTTTTCCTTTGGACTCACTCCAGTTTGTTCATATCTTTTTTAAAGTGCAGTTTCCAAAACTGGGCACAGTACTCCAGCTGAGACCTCACCAGTGCCAAGAAGAGTGTACCAATTGCCTTCCATGTCTGAAATACAACGCTCCTGTTAATATGGCCCAGAATGACATGTCTTTTTCACAATAGCATTACACTGTTGACTCATCCAATTTGTGATCTGCTATAACCCCCAGATCCTTTTCTGCAGCACTGCTGCTTAGCCAGTTATTTCCCATTTGGAATGCTAGTATTACTATCTGAGGATAGTCTTCTGATGTTCTATTCTATTTAGGTTCTTCAGTACCATGGTGATGGGTATGGTATAAGGGCCTATGCTTTAGCCTAGGTAAAGAAGAAGGGCCAATTATATCACATGATGTCACAACCCCAGAAAGGGATAGACCCAGTTTGTATGACATTGATGGCTCCTTCTCGGGCTCAGGTTGGCCACCCCTGGTGTGGTGGGTGGTGCACGTTGTCTGCAATTTTGGTCTCAATTCACACTGGAGTTGGACTAGTGGTAGGACCCCATTAATCCACACAGGGTTGGAATAGTTTCTGCTAAAGGGGGTTAAATATGGTAAATTTAGTGAATATGGACGAGACAAAACTCTTTTATAACAGTATTAGCAAGTTGTTTTTTAGACTAAGTTGTAGTATTGCCAACCCCAAGCTTGGAAAAATCACAAGTCAGGCCCCAAAGATCATGAGACAGGATTAAGTTATGAGATGTTGGGGTCCTTTTTGTGGCCTCTGGGTTTCTGTGCTTTTAGGGTGCACTCGCTTCATGCTTTTTTCTACAACCACAAGGGCTAGAAACCTAACTTTTTTTAAAACAAAAGAAAGCTGATATTCTCACACAGTAACATGAATCCAGGAGCTGGTGCTTTACAAAAAACTCCAGATATCATAAGACTCATGATAAAATCACAAAAGTTAGCAACCAATTGTAAATCAGAAGTAACTCCCTTGATGTCAATTCACTTGTAACTGAGAGGAAACTGTAGCTCACGAAAGCTCATGCTCAAATAAATTGGTTAGTCTCTAAGGTGCCACAAGTACTCCTTTTCTTTTTTTTTAGAGGAAAATGTAACTCCTTGTCTAGAAAACTTTTTTTAACATTGTTTGAAAACAATTTTACATGGGTTGCTCTTTTTTAGTCTGACCAGGCAAAACCAGAAACTACTTTTAACCCTTATTTTTAAAAATGGTTCCCTGATGCAGGTCAAACTCCAGTGAGCTTTGGTTTGTCTGATCCAAACTTACAGATCCCAGGTCTCAGCTAATTTTCCAGGAAAGAGGGAAGTAGTAGTTTTAGGTAGTATAGCATTTTGCTGTTGTTTGGCCAGAGTTTGTGACTGCAAAACACTATGCCCATTTCTCAGCAAAATTAATAATTTCATCATGAGAAAACTCATCCAGACTCATGTGTTTATGGTAAAATAATAACCATGAAAAGGACCACTAGTCAATGTAGTTCCCCCCAAAAGTTTTCCCCTTCATTCATCTCAGCTAGTTTCTTTGTTGCAGACACTGTAGATTTTCTATCTTCAGTCTGAAAAAAGAACAGTGCTGTTCTGTGGGACTGGTGAAAATATTTCTGTTTTTCCAGGAGCAGATGAGCTCCTTTGAACCTTGCTGAGTTGCTGCGGACACTTCCATTTGTTGCTGGCTCTTCCACCTTTTAAAATAAGCTCCCAGTAAATAATTGAAGGGCCTGCTGTCCATTTTTAATGATTTCAGTGGCACTTCAAAGCTGGCATATGTGGCAGGGAGTTTGCAGGATGTTTGATTCAGCGGTTAATATTTGGATCAAGTGATTTAGGTATTCCTAAATCAGTTTTCATTAATACGTCATGGAACATAAAAAGAGGAACAATAACAGGAGTGA